GACCAGCACGCTGGACGGGAGACCTCCTCAGGTCCTTTCCAGCTTGAATTACCCTGTGATTCTATTGCCATTTCCAAAGGTGGTCTGCAAAAACACCTTAAGCAATAGGCGCGCTTTTCTTGCCATTATACATTTTTCCTATTGTCTAATGTGAATTTCCTCTACAATGTAAGTCCATTAATTCCGGTTGTTCCCACTACAGACATACACTCTCCCTCTCTGCAACAAGTTACTATGTATTTAAAGACTGTTATCATGCCATCTGATGTGTCCTGAGAAGGTTTTTGGATGCTTAATACTTTATGCCATTAAGTGCACATTTGAGTTTGTTTTAATTTTTGGGCAACCATATATGTCAATTATTTTGGAGATTTCTAAGTGTGCTGAAAGTATGAAGTTTAATAGAGCAAGGATACATCAGCTAGCATTTAAACTTTCATTTCTCTACTCTGTATTTCACTGCTTTTCTAGTAAAAATTTTCATGGTGCATTTTTTCTCATCATCCCATAGTTCCTAAGCTATGTACTATCTGACTATGCAACCCTTAAGCTTCTTCTGAGGTGAAACAGCCATGGTTTTCTCTCTTACTTTTTTGCTCACAAAAAATATTAAACTATAATTCCTATGGGTGATAATATAGTGCAGTCATCCACAGATCTAAGCTCTATGACTATTCTGGTTTATTCTCAGTGGAACATCATCCTGCTAGCTTTCTCTGTTCTCATTTCTTGCTAGCTACTTTGCTTTTGTTTGTTTTGTCAACAGCATGAGCCACTCACCCATTTTCCTTGTTCCTCAGAGGGTTTTTCCTCTTACATAAACACATACACCAGTGTTTACTGAAACTACTGTTTTTTCCATTGCTTGAATTCTGCTGTCAGAGATAAACAATTTTGCTTCATTGCCTCAGGATAAACACTCTTATTTATCAATCTTTCCTGTATTTAAACAGGTCTCTGAGAGTGACAGCAACTGCAGGGTAGGAGAGATAGAAGTGGTGAAGCTGCCTTGTGCCTGAAGCCAGGCTGGGGAGGCAGAGCTGTGACAGTTCTTCATGTTGCCTCAGGAACAGAATCCCCAGTTGTACTGGTTGTTCTGCCTACAGCGTGCCAGATGAGGAAGTACAACTCCTTCATCCCACACATTATGTAAAGATAGGTGTTTTCAGCGTACTCAGACACTAGAATCAGGAAAGAATAGGATGCCCTGTACAAGAAGGATAACAAAATCAGGGTGTGCATGAACAGCAAAATTAAGACATCAGAGCAGCATGGATAGTCATAGTTTTAGTCTAACAGGCACAGCCAGCAACAGCATCAAAATGTAGAAGCACAAAATCCAGTGTGGGCTGGCAAGCTGGGGGATCCATTCACATCCATATCCCTACAGCATCACTTTTATTCTTTCTGTGCTGCACAAGTAAAAGGTAACTTAAAACCCTGCCCCACAATTCTATCACTCCTCTGCTGCAGTGAAGAAATAGTTTGAAGGCTTTCCTTATCCATTAAGAAATCCCTTTGGGTTGTTCTGGATCAGCTGCTACCCAGACAACATTGCAACAGGCAAATTCAATCACCTGGCACCATTAGGGCACCGGAACAAGGTTCTATATTAAATCAGCCCACTTTCCTAAGAACAAATAAAGATGCAGCAAATTTTGTGGTTTGCTACACATGTACTTTTTATGTATCTAGCTTTGGTCTAAAAAGTAACTTTTTGGTCTAAAAAGTAAAGACTCTCTTAAACTTGTAGGGTTTAATTTTTTAGTTTTTACTTGCTTAAATCTCACTAAATATAAAAAAAGACTTGTACGTGCTGTGTACCTAATGAGCTGCTACTGATGGGAGGATGAATTCATCTTCACATTTATTTCAGTTAATTCTAAAACAACTGCAGCTTACAACCCTGTGAAAGCTTTACTATTTCTCTTATTTCATGATAATGGAAATACTTGTGATTCTACTGCTTACAGCTACGCTTTGTCAAGAGGAACTGACTTCAGGATCACAGAATTTTGTGACCTTTGGCATATGCATTTGCCGGCGTTGAAAATATAAGCTACTTGAAAATGTTGTGAAGTATCCTGCAAAACCTTTCTGATGTAACATGTCTCGAGTCAAATTTCATCTCTGAAATAAAGATTCGAACAAAAAGGCAGACTGTACATGAACAATCTCAGTTTACCAAAATGTACTCTGACCTGAAACGCAAGTAGAAAACCACATTGAAATGGGGCACATGCTCCCAAAGAGTAAGAAACAAAGCACACTTGGTGCTGTGGCTGAATATGCTACAAATACATCTTAGATGTCACTCAGGTGTGTTCAGTTGTAGTGAAGGTAAATTCCCAAACTACTGAACAGGTGGCACGTTTAGAGTAATTTCCTGTCATACACGTGTATACCTGTGTGTTTCAACAACATGGTTTGTGGAGGCTTTTTTTAGAGACACAAGAAAAATTCTGTTTCTACAAACATTTTTTGGGCCTTGGTCTTGCTGAAGTCCCATTTCCCAGCTTCAGCTTTTATTTCTGGGGATATTAGTCCAGTAGGAAGAATACTGAAACTCGTAATGTTTATTTAAAATAAGCCATGAAATGTTGAAGATGATCTTTTGTTACCAGCCCAGTAACAAAACTATTTGGATTATGGATTTTTTTGCAATTTTTATATATTTGCAATTTTGAATTGCAAACCCTAAATTTACTACTAGAATAAATGATTCTATACTCCACTGCAAGTCGTAAAATTTATTACAACTAATATGCCATCACTTACATCACATTAATTTCTTGTATTGGGAAAGATACCGTGACGTGCACTCTCCACATGTACCTGTATTAATGTCTGTCTTGGCTTTTTTTGTCATTTTCTCTCCTAGATTTTTTCCTCTATCTGAGCAACAGACACACCGAGAAACATGCCTGAGCAAAGCAATGATTACAGGGTGGTTGTGTTTGGAGCTGGAGGAGTAGGCAAAAGTTCTTTGGTCTTGAGGTTTGTGAAGGGCACTTTCAGAGAGAGCTACATCCCTACTATTGAAGACACCTACCGGCAGGTGATCAGCTGTGATAAGAGCATATGCACTTTACAGATAACTGACACTACAGGGAGCCATCAATTTCCAGCCATGCAACGTCTTTCTATTTCTAAAGGACATGCTTTCATTTTGGTTTACTCTATCACCAGCCGACAGTCCTTGGAGGAACTCAAACCAATCTATGAACAAATATGTCAGATTAAAGGAGACATAGAAAACATTCCAATAATGCTGGTGGGGAACAAAAATGATGAGAGCCAAAATCGAGAGGTGGACAGCAGCGAAGGAGAAGCCATGGCTAAGAAGTGGAAATGTGCCTTCATGGAGACCTCGGCCAAGCTGAACCACAATGTGAAAGAGTTATTCCAAGAATTGCTAAACCTTGAGAAACGCAGGACTGTGAGTTTACAAATCGATGGCAAAAAAAGCAAGCAGCAGAAAAGGAAAGAAAAACTGAAAGGCAAATGTGTGGTGATGTGAATTGCACTGTCAGTAGTCAATCATGCAGTCTCACCTGTCTGACAATACTCATATAAAACCTGTAGATAGCAAACAACCATGCAAACCCCTATTCATTAGTATATGTTTAAAAAGAGATATTTGGAATTTGAAAAAAATTATTAACTGTAGTTACTATAAAAAAACCTCAACAATTAAAATCATGCACTCCAGCTTCTAGTGAAAAAAATCAGGAAGTAAGAGAAGGATGGGCCAGGATATCTAACTTTGTGATTTACAGAAGAAAAGAAATTTCATCCTTAGCATAATGGAAAAGATTTGGAAAGTCAGCTTCACATTATTTTCATTTCATGTAACTGGAAAAGAAGGCAATGTATAGTGTTGGAAGAAAAACAAAGAAATGGCCATGAAGAAACTTAGAACTATAAAATGCATGCTGAATGGTGTGATGACATCCTTTTAAGAATGCTATGGACAATTCTGTGTAATTTTCATTACTGACTGGTGGGGCACTGTGCATAAGGCAGTATGGGATCTGCCAAATAAACTATTTCACACTAAAAGGAAGTGTGAGGGTAGCAGTTAAAAGGAACGGATATTCTCTCTACCCTTGAGCATGAGATTTCTTTCTAGTATGTTTCAGTGTTTGAACTGAAGATAAAGAAAATCCAATCCCAGTAGGAGAGACGCAAATCATCTTTTCTGGACCCATCGCTTCAAGAATCACTTGTGCTTCTGGCCTCAATATGTTTCAGAAGAGCAGATGTTTTCCTGTGGAGAATGTCAGATTGTATGGAAATGGTGTACATAGACAAACAGAAAGCTTCTGCAGGGAGGACTGGCTGGGAAGTCCCCTGCAAAAGCCCCTGTGGGAAAGGCTCTGTTCAGATGCTGCTGATGGTTAAATGAACACACAGAGTGAATAGTGAATGAAAGGAAAGTCTATTGAGCTGGTAGTACCCTTGGAGAGGGGTCAATGTAGTATACAAAATTTTTATTTAAATTACCAAATTAGCTGAGTGAAACTTCTTTACATTACTGTACTTCAACTAGAATGATTTTTCATTCATGCACTACTAGATCTATTGCCTTTATATTGTCTGAAGGGGTATATATTAACCATTTAAACTCATGATTTGAACTGCTGTGACTATAGAACCAAATCCTATATCTGGAATTAGGGCCCACAAGGGACTCTAGGAGAAGATTTCCTGGGATCAGTAGTACAGGATTTGGCAGTTGCAGTCAGTACTGTGTTACAATGCAATACAAAGCTCAGAATAGAAAAAGCTGGTTTAAACCACCTTTTCAGGGGAAACTGCTCTTCTCAAAACCTTTGGAAGGGGAAAAATAGTAGAAAATGTGAGCTTTTCTGGATCTCTCTCCAAAGCTTTTTTAAAAACTAAGTTGAATGAGTGAAATATGTATTCTACTGATTACAAAGAGCATCTAAGATAGAAGAAGCACATATAGTTTTTAAAGGACACATCAAGATTGCATAAGCTACAATTTGCGCCTTAGGAACTTCTCTGAAATAATAAACCAAACCACCGTATTCTCGTGAATGTTTATGTTGAAATCATACTATAGGAAAATGCAGTCAAGTACTAGTATTATTAGCATGCATGCTGTTGCATTATAAATATCTTCTAGGAGCTGTTCAAAGGCAGTATTTGCATTAAAAATTGTTATCTTGTTCCTCTTGGATTTACTACTTGCTTATCTTCAACATTTCAATCAAATATTCAGACATTTCACAGGTAGAGTATATATTTCTTCGAGCAAGAATTGCTATTAACATTATCTAGAAAAGAGCACAAATTTTATCATTCACTCAAAAGAAATTTTGGTACCACTAAAATCAAGCATAACACTCCTGATGTCAAAGAAGACAGAATTTTGTGTGCTTATTACACATCTGAAAATTAGAGAGAGCATGAAAAAAACTCATAAGACTTTTCCTTAACAATAAATTCCTGGCTCTTACATGATGCTTTTTCTCCATAAAAATCAAAGCGCTTCACGAAAAAGACAGCATCATTGTCTTAACTCCTCAGGTGGTGACACTGAGGCATGAAGAGAGAAAGCAACTACACACAGGTTACTCAACAGGCTAGATGCAGACCCAGGAAAAAAAGCAGATCTCCTCAGTCCCAGTCCAGTGCTCACTTTGCATTTGATCTGACTGCCTCTTCACATGCTTAGCTAACTTCTAAAATATGTAAAGAAAACTGTTACGGCTTATACAGCTAAGTGTATCTTTTTCTTGTCAGTCTGTCAAAAGATCAAACAGTATGTACAGATCAGGGATGCAAAACATTTAAAAGCACGACATTTAGTAAGTCTTTTATAAATGTTTAAACATCTATTCTGTTTGTAAGCAGATGGCTGACGATGCTCATCTTCACAGCAATGGATTCCACTAATGAAACTGGAAAACCAAAAGAATGATCACATTTAAGGAGTAATGGGTCATATACAGAGGTCAGCAGTACAGAGGTCTCCTGCTGATGCTAACACGCCGGTGCCAAAGGTCATCATGCATGACACATGCTGAAGCAGCCAGCATGGAATAATGACATAAACTCAGAAAAAAAAATAAAAAAAAATAAAGCCCATGTAAAGACAATGATCCTTTTAATATTATTGGTCACTTTAACTGAAGGAATTTTTTACATAGTAAAGAATCTTGCAGAAGTAAAATATAGGGGATCTAATTACTCAAAAGCTATAACTGCAAGATATTTCAGGCTGAAATTTGGCCCTGGACTTTCTTTGAATGTGCCTCATAGCAAGTAAGTAGTAATTTTATGGCAAAGGTGGAAATAAACAAGTAGCTGCCAATGTCAGGCTTGAGGACCATTTCCTTTAATTCCCAGTTGATTCCTCACCTGCTACATAAGAAGCCATGAATTATTTCATGGACTTGCATGTATCAAAGCAAGGCCAATAAAGAAGCAATATTACTTGTGGACCACAGATTCGAAAGAGAACATATTTTATACCCTTGCATTGTCATCCTAGTTTATACTACTAGATTTTACATATCTTACGTACTTGTGAGCTTGTTTAAAGCATTGTTTTGCTATTACTTATACAATTATTTTTTTTTAATACAGGGAAAACACTATAAGTTAAATAAAGAAAATATATAGCTTTATTACATTTTGTGTTTTATTTGAGAATGTGATACGAGTATAACTCTTTAAAATATACAGAAAAAACATTACATATTTAAGCCATGTAAGATCTACAGTGAATTTTAGCAAACAGAAAATATGATCTAGACAAAATGACTCTTTACAATGCATGTCTTTTCTATGTATATGTGAAATATTAAGATACATAGTTATGAAAATGTGTTGTTGCAATTTCATTAGCAAGTATTTTATTCAAAACCTCTGGATATGAAGTAATTTGTGCCTACAAGTTTCTATGTTTCTGGTGATCTGAACATAAAAAATAAAGTTTTAAGTGGAAACACAAGTTTGGAAGAAGCCTTGTTGGTGCCTGCATTGTGTTTATTACATAAGTACATTAAGTATGTAGTTTTTAAAAGTTTCATGCAGTAAAAGTTGTAAGTTTTTAAAAGTTTCATGCAGTAAAAGTTGTAAGTTTTTAAAAGTTTCATGCAGTAGAAGTTGTAAGTTTTTAAAAGTTTCATGCAGTTAAAGTTGCAAAGGCAATTCTCTAAATAAATATAGATACTTACACTTTAGGCAGTGTCCTAAGGTCTTCAGCTATACAGATCAGATTCCTGAAAAGTCCTGAGAAAACTGGAGCAGTATCATCTTATCTAACATTTACTTTTCTTTCATTATACTGTGGCAAACACCTACACTTTCAAAGCCTTCTGATCTGCCTTCATAAAACACAGATTACCCATGGGTGTATCTTTTGGCTATCAAAAAGCAAAATAGTTCTGCAAACTAGCCTGTATTTTATTGTTTACTTTAAAATAACGATAGGTAAAACTTGATACTTGTGCAGAATTGAAACTTATTATATGGATCCTTCTATTCCTCCTCATTTCTACCAAATTGATGTTGGTTTTGCAAAATTTCCTACTACTGCATATTATGTTACCACCTGTTTAAAAAAGATGTCAAATATAATACTTTGATGCTTCTTGCAAGTCACAAGATGTGGTAACACTTTTTCAGTTAAATAATCATTTCTGTATGTAAGGGAGGGATCAACAAACAAGCTTGAATATTTATGCACATTGGTAGTCATTTGAACCAGTGATGAAATATTGAGTATTGAATACAGATTTCATATCACTGTGAAATAATTGGACATGGTAGTCCACAAAGCTTTTTATTTTTAGTAAAAGACATCCTGGAACTCCTAATAAATCCTATAATTCTTTTCTTCTTCTAATACATCGTCATTTGCTATGCTTGGTCCTGATTCTGACACAGCCAACTGTGGAAAAGTGGATGTGCCATGTCAGTGTCCTGGGGTCTGCACAACATAGTAACTGTTTTTAAGATGTTTGCCCTATGGTGTTCCACAGACACACCACAGATCTTGCCACCTTCTAAATTTTTTGTCGTTTGTTACTACTCCCACTTCCCATGGGAAATATTTTCATTGTTACCACCTGCCCCCATTAAGTTGTGAATATATACTTGTAACATTTAATTCACTGGCATTTTAACTGGCATGTCCCACACAACTTTTTGACAGATTTACTAATTAATTCCCAAGTTTATTTCATGCAATAAATGGTGTCTAAAGTCCAGCTCTACTAAAACTGCAAAGAGAGGGAGAGAAGAGCTTAAGCACCTTTGAAAGTACATACCTGGATGATCCTTGTGAAGGATGCAAACTGCTCTAAAATAACCAGATGGATATGGGGTTTACAGAAAGTATTAAGCCTCTTCTGTTTCATATAATTTAGCTTGGATGAGCAAAACTTTATATAATGAGTCAGAATGGACCTATTGAAAATCATAATGGAACTGTAGTGGAAAGGAACATTTGTTGTTCAGTCAGATGTATTTATTCCTCATTCAGATGCCAAGAAAAGGCACAATGGATCCTACAAGTACATCTCTATCCTGATGTTCTGAAAGCTGTGGATGACAACATCTGTCACATGGAAGCTGCCATTGTATTTGTATTCATTTCAGTAAAAAAAGCAGGAAGAAGTGTTTTACCATAAGGGCTGTATGG